AGGGTTTTATAGCCTGGAGTCATTTCATTAGTTTAAGCTATCTAGGGTTCCACCAGGAGTCACTTCATAAGCATAAACCATCAGGGCCCACCATAAATAATAAAGATACTTCTATCAATTGGGAGGTGTTAAGTTAGGTTGTTAGATTTGACATCTCCTTTTTTGTTGTGTTTATAGCTATGTATTTCCCTCTTGGCATTGCCTTAGCATTTTATCCTATAAGTTTTGGTATGTTATACTTCCATCTTTATTTGTCTCAAGATATTTTTTTTGAGACAGGGTCTCACTATGTAGCCCAGGCTGGTCTCGAACTCACAGCAATCCTCCTGCCTCAGCCTCCTGAGTGCTGGGATTACAGGCATGCGCCATCATGCCCAGCTTGTTGTCTCAAGATATTTTGTAATTTCCTTGTGATTTGTTCTTTGACCCATTGAATGTTCAGAAGTACGTTGTTCAATTTTTATATATTTATGAATTTCCACTTTTTCTCCCATTTTGATTTCTGGTTTCATCCCATTGTGATTGGAGGGAAATACTTTGCATACTTTTAATCTTTGTTACTTTACTGAAACTTATTTTGTGGGCTAACATATGGTCTATTCTGAAAAATGTTCCATGTTTACTTGAGAAGAATATTATTATTGTGTGGAATGTTCTGTGCATTATTTGAAGTCTAGTTGGTTTGTACTGTTAATGAAGTCTTCCTTGCCTTTATTAGTCTGGATAATAGATAGGTGTTCTATTCATTATTGAAAATATTATATTGAAGTCTGTAGCTATTTGTAGAGCTGTCTTTTTCCCTTCTGCCAATTTTGCTTCATGTTTTTGGCTATGTTGTTTGGTTTATATATGTTTCCACATGTTATATCTTCTTGATTAACTGACCCTTTATCAATAGATAATATCCTTCTTTTCATCTTGTAAGATTTTTTTTTGTCTGTTTGCTTGTTTTCTGTTTTTTCTCATTGAGTTTATTGGTACATTTTAGGTATACAGTACAGTTACATTCATCATTGGGATCTTGTGCCTTTACATGACAGGCCTTGGTTCTCATTTTTTCCCCTTGTCCCTGTCCTCCCTTCACCCCCTCCTCCCTTCCCTATTTACAAAAATTTTATATGAGAAAATGAAAAAATGGAAGTAAAGTTTTTGTAAAGTTAATGTTTGCTTGTTTTCTTTGGTACCAGGGATTGAACTCAGGACCTTGTGTTTAGCAGGCTGGAGCTATGCCGCTGAGCTAAATCCCTGGCCCTACTTGTAAGATTTTGTTTGTCTGATGTTAGTGTAGCCATCCTAGCTCTCTTTTGGATATCATTTGTATTGAATACAGTATCTCTCATTGTCCTTTCTCTCTTGTGTCTTTGGGTCTAGAATAAGTTGAACACCAGGAGCTAAACAAATAAACAAAAAAGTAAAGCAACAAACAGAAACTGTAAACACCTATACCAGTCTACAGATTGGCTTGGTGCTGGAGCACTCCTTCAAGACTCCACCATGCTTGTGTGGTCTGTGGGGCAGCCTGAGGTGAAAGGTTACAGGCTTTTTAGGTCACTTGTGAATGGGTCTTATTCTGGGCATAAACATTTTTCTAGATTCCCTTGTACATGGATGCTTTTGAGTATCTGAATTTTTAAGACTTTCTCCCCTAGCTGTTCCTTTCAGAAAGTCGTATTCTGATGCATGTTCTGCTGGAACCTTTTGCCCAGCCTCTGCAGTTTGGCTGTCTTGCAGCTTTTTAGAGCAGTGCCCACTGCTTTACCACTCTCCAGTTCCAAGTTCCATAAAACAGACAAGCACATTGCACCAGTTCTCTGGGAGCCCTCAGACAGATTAGAACATGAATCAGGTCTGCCTTGCTGCCTCCAGGCCCAGGGACACACACTGGGAACATGGGTGACTCTACCTGCAGCAGCTGCTGCACATCAGGGAATAGAGCAAGGGCAGGAAAAAAGCCGCCCCTGCCCCCTGCTACCGCAGCCTTTGAATTACCTTTTTTTTTTCAATTCTACCTTTGCTTGGTTGCTGCAAACCTTTGTTTTCCAGAGTTCTGGCAAAGATAATTGTTATAATTTCTTCTTGTTTTGTATGTTTCCTGTGGGAGGATAAGAGCTTGACAGATTCTCATTTTGCTGTCATTGTGGAGTGAAATTTTGTCAGTTGAAATGTTTTTCCATATGTTTTGTTTTGTTTTGTTTTGTTTTATGGTGCTGAGGATGGAAATCAAGTCCTCATGGATGTTGGCACGTGCTTAACCACTGAGTAGCATCTCCAGCCTCAGTCATCTGAAATGGATTCTCCTTTTCTATTGTTTTTAAAGCAGCTTTGAATGGATACAGACTGTTTTTGTCCATTTGTTTGATACACAGCCGGAATTTGGCATTTGTTTACTTATAGGTAATTAGAAATTTGAAGTAGTGTCTATTATGTATTATAAGCTATACTGAAGGTAGTATTATGTGTCTTTTTATGTGCTGTTTGTGTTGATCTATATAGTTTTTTGGAGGATGTATAGAGAGATTTGAATTTATACAGATGCAATCCTTCTAGATTACATGGAAGTGTCTTAGTTTTTAATTGAAGAACAAAGGTGATTTATGCACAGTAAAATTTACATATTGTAAAAGTTGGTGTATGGTTTATGAATTTTGGCAAAGCCATACAGTTATGTAACCACTGCCACAAAGAAGACATGGAAGAGTTGTGTCACCTCACAATGTATACCTTTGTAGCTGGCCCCTTGCTGTCCCCTGTCCCCTAATCACAGATAGATGTTCACCCTTTGAAGTTTTGCCTTTCTGGTAATGTTTTATAAATGGAACCACAGAGCAAGTAACCTGTTGAATCTGGCTTCTTTCCCTTAGCATAGTATATTTAAGGTTCATCCATGTTGTCGCCTGCATCATTGATTCCTTCTTTTTCATAGTACTTGTAATACTGTAGATTCCAGATTGTGTATCTATTCACTGGTTGAAAAACATTTAGGTTTTTTCCAGGTTTTGTTGATTAAAAATACAGTTGCCTAGGAGATGGGGGTGTGTATAGGCCTAGCATGTGCAAGGCTTTGGATTCAAGCCTTAGCACTCGCTGCCTACGTCGCACTTGTGGCCCCCTCCTCGTAATTTGTGTGTGTGGTGTTCCGTTGCATCCGCCTCAGGCAAGCTGGTAGCCAGCGTACAATAAACCTACCTTGCAACATGTAGTTTCTATGTGGCTCATTGATTTTCATTATCACACAGTATTCCACTGAATAACTGCCAGTTTACTCATTCTGCTGCTGATGGACATTTGAATTTTCCTCATGATTTCATATTAGAAACAGTGCTGTTGTGAACATCCCTGGGCTTGTTTCCGAGGGCACATGTTCATGATTTTCTCTAAGGTATGTAGCTATAAGGAGAACTGCCAAGTGGCATGTATGCAAATTATTAACTTTAGCAAACAATGCCAAAGCATTTCCCAAAGTGCTTATACCAGATTGGATTCCTACTAATGGTGTGTGGGAGTTGCCATTTTAGGACACTGCAGTGTAGTAGTCTGCTTAGCTGTACCCTTTCTGGTGGGGGCATAGTGGTGTTTCAGTATTGTGTTCTCACTTACCTGAATGCTAATGAGCCTGAGTATGTTTCAGTTCACCTGGACGCTCTGGTTGGTACATTTTCCTTTGTTCATAGGTCGTTTGGTTTTCCTTTTGAATGAAGTACCTTCTCTCTTTTCTTGTCCCTTTGTCTGTCTTTGTATATTTCTGATCAGTTTATAGGGGTTAAATATTCCAGGTAAGATCCCTTTATCCTTCATGAGCATCACAGATAATCTCTCCTTTGTGGCTTGCCTTTGCACTGCCCTACTTTTAATCTCGTAAAGCTTACAAGTCTCTTCCTTTATGAGGGGTGCTTTTCATGTCTTGTCTCAGAATTTGTCCCTTATCTTAAGCTTACGAAAACATTTTCTATATAATTGTATAGTGTTGCCAAACCCACAGCTCGAGTTGGCACCCAAGTGGCTGCAGGGGAATCCTAGAAGGGAGTGCCCCGAACCATGTGGAAATGGGGCCGCTCGGGGTTCCAAAGTTGCACTCATGCTCAGGTGATCCGTCCTAAGCATTTATGATGGGGACAGGCTGTGATGTCTTCACAACAGTAAGAAGAAGGGAATGTTCAGAGAAAGAGGTCAAGGGATGAAGTTTACATGAGGGTGTAAGGAATTTGGGCTTAGGGCCAGGGCCAGTTTCTTTCTTCAAAGGCTAGTGGGCATAACCTAAACAGCTTTATCAGTGCCTGAAAATGTTCAAGGTCCCAGCTTGGACTTAAGATTGCAAGTAGAACCGTGCAGCCGATTAGGTTGTAAAGCAGTCAAAGGGCTGATTTTCGGTCAACACACAGAAAGCAGAGGAATTGGGGAACTCTACAGTTATTTACTTTTCTTTTTCATGGGTTTTTATTATTACGTGTTTTGATACATAATAAATACATTTATTGTGGGGATCTGCTATACATACACACACATATCTATGTTGGTCCTGCTTCCCCTTCCTCCTATCCCCCCTCATCCACACTTTAAAGTTATTTTATAGATACTTTGCTGTGTTTTCTCTCACATTAGACTTACATATTACCTGTAGCTGATTTGTGTGTGTGGTAACAGGGGCTAAATTTCATTTTTTGCCATATAAATATCCAATAACCAATCCAACATCTATTGAAAAGCTCACCCTGCCCACCACTTTACTGTGCCAACACAGTCATGATGCATTTGTCTATGTGTGTTTGGATTCTTTTTGTTCGCTGGACTATCTATCCTTGTGCAAATGTCACATCATCTTAAATTTCCTATTAATGAAATACTTTTTCTCTCAGGATGGATGAGAGTAGGCCAGCAACTTGTTTTGAAGTAGAAAACCTGTATTAATTCACGATGAGTTTGGAACCCAATGAGAAATTCCCCTACATTTATCCTGCACCCAGCGGTCAGCATTTTATAATAAAAGCAATGTGCCATTATAGGAACTAGTGACATTTGAGGACGTGGCTGTGGATTTCACCCCAGAGGAGTGGAAGTATGTGAACCCTGCACAGAGAATCCTGTACAGAGATGTGATGCTGGAGACCTACAGCCACTTTGTCTCCTTGGGTAAGAAGCTTCCTTGGGAAACGTGGCTGTTTATGATCATTGCACCAAATGGAGAGCCTTTTCTTTTATCTCTCTCAATGTCCTCCTTTTCTCTCCTGAAAAGGTACCTTGGGAATTTAAAACTCAGGTTAAATGTTTTGACTTTACTACTGTGTCAAACAGTAGGTCCCTTGTGTTGCTCCCAAACTGCAATTTCCTCTGTCTCAGGGGCTCTGAAGACCAAAGATGTGTCTGTCATTTCTCATTATCAGGGCAGCAGGTTACTAAACCAGACCTCATCCTCAAACTGGAGGTGGAAGAGCCATGCCCGGCAGAAGGCAGAGTCCCAATTGGGAGCTATCCAGGTAAGTAGGACAGACCTCAGCTCTGAACACACAGGTGCCCAGCCTGTCACTGGGGGAGGGCACCCCTTAGGGCTTTTGGGACTGTCTTGGTTGTGGCCCTTTGGCTCTGTTGGAGGACACGGACATGAACATCTCATCCATAAGACTGACACCCCTCCCTGTCCTCTCATACATCATCACTGTCCTTACGTTGCTGCTGCCTGGAAAGTTTCTGCACAGTTCCTTTCCTCACAGATCAAGTGTCTTTTATATGCTACCATGCCCCAGTCTTGTTGCTTCCACAATTCTCATCTGTCACAGACTTATAGCTAGGCCCACATTAGTTACCGGCCTGGATCTAATGCTATAATTCCAGAGTGGATTCTCTGAGTCCATTCTTCTTGCTCAGCTTAGCTATTCATGTCAAGGTTTGGTCTCCAAACATCTTTATTACCTATTTTTTTGTGGTACTGGTGATTGAACCCAGGGCCTTTACACTGAGCTACATCACCAACTCTTTTATTTTTTTATTTTGAGACAGGGTCTTCCTAAATTGATAAATTAATTGCCTGGCTGGGCTCAAACTTGTAATCCTCCTGCTTCAGCCTCAGAGTGCTGAGATTATAGGTGTGAGCCACTAAACTTGGTTAGTTTCTTTTTTGGTGGTGATGGTGGTGCTTCAGGTTGAAACCAAAGTTTTGTACATGTTAGACAAATGCTGTACCACTGAGCTATATTGCCAGCTCCTTGATTATCTACTTTTTGAGTTACCTTTGAGATATAATTCACTACCTCATAATTCAGCCATTTAGAGTGTAAAATTCAGTACTTTTTGGTATATTCATAGTTGTGCAGTTGTCACCATTATCTAACTCTAGAACATTTTCATCAACTCTAAAAAGAAACTTCTGCTTTTATTAGTCCCTTTCCATTCTCTCCTTCCCCCATTCTCTGGTAAGCGTGATTAACTTTCTACCTCTATAGTCTTGACTGTTCTTGACATTTCATATACATGGAATCATAAAACATGACCATTTTGTTTTCTTTCATTTGGCATGTTTTCAAAGTTCATCCATGTTGTAGCATAAATCAACACTTTATTCCATTTTATGGGAATATTCCATTGTATGGATAGAGAACATTTTGTTTATCTGCTGATGGACATTTGGTGGTTTCCACTTTCTTGGCTATTATGACTAATGTGGATATGAACATACATGTACAAGTTTTTGGGGTGATGTAGGTTCTCATTTTGTGCAGATGCACAGTATTGAAATTATTGTAGTATATGGTAATTGTATATTTAACATTTTGAAAAATTACCAAACTTTGAATATCCCATTCCTCAAAAACTTTCATGCAGTGTCAACATTCACTAATGATTCTTGCCTGATCACTTGTTACTAAGATGGTTAATTTTGTTCTTTTCATCGAGCTATCATCCATTACTGTCATTGTTCATATTCATGTTCAAATTGTCTTCAGTGTAGTAGTAAAGATTTCCTCAGGCTAGCTCCCTCTCCTTTTGTCCTGGCCCTATCATTCTTTGAGTGCTTTCTCACTTTCTAGCACAAACATATTCCACATTCACCTGGTACTTTCCCTGTTTCAGACTGGAATGAACAGTTTCTACAAGGACCTCGGGCTCCTGTTAGCGGGAATGGTACTTTATCCCCACTGTGGTACATTAACACAGTCCTCTGTTGTGTTTTTCTTATAAGTTGGTAATTAGATGTAGAAGTTGGATTAGTTTCTGAGATTTTTTTTTCTTTTTACTTCCTAGTTACTCTCACCAGTAGGCATGCAATGTACAGTTATCTCTGTGTTCTGTTACTAGTTATTGATTGGTGATTAATGCTTAGCTCCATTAATTCATTAATGGCTGCAAAATATCGATATGTAAATTTTGTCATTCTTTATTAGCTGGAATACTTTTATAAAGAGAAATTGCCCCCATCTATTATTTGGTTACCACGAGTTACATGTTATACAGAAAAGACAGGCTAAATGACTGAGGTTTGATTGGCATATTTGCCAGTTTTCAGAGTAAAGAGTTGCTTTGGTACCATCACCCAAATGTGACCAACAAGCTATATCCTTTTTATGTATCATTTACAGACTTAGAGATTTAAACATTTTAATGTCTTAATTGCTTTATTATTCTTACCATGACTCAAACTATTCCATCTTTAGCCAGTGGAAACTCCTTCATGTTGGTTTTCAGGTGTTTGGTGGTGTTATTGCTTTTAGGTGTTACAAGTTCAAGGCTCATTTTGTGTGTTTCCTGTCTCTGACCTGGTATTGCCCACTTCTCCAAAGAGCCCTGGTTCTTTTTAGTGGAAAAATAATGTTTTAAGACCACAACTTAGGTGTTAGAGAATCATTTTAAGCCTTTTCATTGATAGAGTTAGGACCTATGTATAAATTTTAAAAATACTTCATATATTCCAATTGATATTTATAAATCAAATCCTGGATGGATGTAAAGGTGTTTCATAGATTGATTTTATATCTGATGATAGTGTTGTAGTCTTATTCTGAGACAATGATCAAAACAACTGATCATGTTGATGCCGCTGTGAGTCAAGACTTTCAGCCTGGTCATTAGGAAATACAGAAGAAAATATTTACTATTATTAGGAAATTCAGTTTTTGTTCAGTTTTGCTTTGTGATTATATAAAATATTATATTTACTTGGTTCCAAAGTCATATTTAGAAAACAAGGTACATATAGTGTAGTCAGAGGCTGCTTTCCCTCTCCATGCATTTCTTTCTTTCTTTCCTCCACAGGTAACCTTTAATAAAATTTAAAGGTTTATCTTTCTACTGTTTTTTATAATATGAGCCTATATGAATATATATACAATTCTTTCTTTATAAAAACAGCATCCTACTATCCAGTTTTATTCACCTTCTTTTTCTTTTTTTTCCTCGAGTTTATTGGTACATTTTAGGTATACAGTACAGTTACATTCATTATTGGGATCTTGTACCTTTACATGACAGGTCTTGGTTCTCATTTTTTCCCCATACCCCTGCCCTCCCTTTGTCCCCTCCTCCCTTCCCTATTTACAAATTCACCTTCTTTTTCTTACTTAATAGTTAAGAACATGTTACATACATAGATACTCCTTTTTCTTTTTATAATAATGTATCTTAATAATCAACAATCAATAATAGCAGTTGTTGTAAACATTTTAAAGCACTTCATATGTGCCATGCAAACTTTGTTATATCTCTCATTTTCCCCATACCCCTGCCCTCCCTTTGTCCCCTCCTCCCTTCCCTATTTACAAATTCACCTTCTTTTTCTTACTTAATAGTTAAGAACATGTTACATACATAGATACTCCTTTTTCTTTTTATAATAATGTATCTTAATAATCAACAATCAATAATAGCAGTTGTTGTAAACATTTTAAAGCACTTCATATGTGCCATGCAAACTTTGTTATGAGTAAACAATGCTTCTCAGCATCATCCACTTGGGTAAGCACTGTTATAATTTCTGTTTTGTGGGTGAGAAAATGATATAGGTACTAGCTCACTTGCCTAAGGTCACAGACCAATTAAAAGGATGAGCTGGGATTTGCTCTTGTCCAACCATATGGGCCATACTGCTGCTGTCCACTGAAGGAAATTCTTGTCCAGCAGTTCTGAGTAGAGCAGCTTGTAAGAGCCCTTTCTGTGATTCTGCGCTCCCCTGGCTAAGAACTAGTGTTTTGCTATCTGAAGAAAGTAAGTCACTGGAAAGGAAACCAAAGCTGCATGATCCACTTTAACATTAAGTACTGCTATGACAGAATGTTAACATTATGGAATCTTACGTGGTAATATGAATAGTTACTATACACTTCTTTCAACTTGTCTCCATGCTTGAAAATTTTCACATAAGGTTTCAGAGAAAATAAGTAAATTACCAAACACGACTAAAAATTCAGTATATGTGTAAAAATGTCAGATTTTATTTACTTCAAGATACCGTTGAGTTTAAGAAATACCACTAAGAAGGAAACATTGTCACCAGTTAATCTGTGACATGTCATTGATTATAAGGTGTATGTGGATTCAGAGATGTTAAAATGTGAAATATTGTGTATCTTGCAACTGATATTAAAGGCTTTGCAGTTTTGACTAAATGAGTGTTACAGATGACAGTTAATAAATTTTTAAGTTATTTAGGAAGATCAGAGTAGATTTCTTTGAAAAGACAGAATTGCCTCTTGAGAGTTATCTAGATTATGAATATAGGACAATATGGAGGACAGGGCTATGTGCATAATGGTACATGAGAAATAGTTTGGAGTATAGTTTTAAGGGAAATAGTGTAGACAGTGATGTTGAAGAACTGTGAATGTAAGCATGGGTGAACTTGCACTGGTGAGTCCGGATTGTCAGGCTAATTCTTTCATTCACTGAAAATGTAGATTCAGGTACGTTGTAAGATTTGAGTCCAGCAAACACACTGTTTTATTTCTTCCTAGTGGGAAATAGTGTAAGTCAGGTTTAGTTAAGAGTTAATATGGTGACTGTGAATTGAGCGTAATAAGGTCTATCCCCAAAACTGATGGAAGTCAGAGATCATATAAGACATGGTGAGAGATCCAGACATCAGGTTAAGATTGTTCTTTGTAAAAAAAAAAGGGCAGTACGTGGGATTTGAGTAAGAGACTCTTCAGGAACTCTGATAAAATGAAATGATAATATCAGTTTTCATATGGCAAGGAATTTCTGAATATTGTACTTCTTTCTAGAAGTCTGCCAAATTGATGAACAGATTGAGAGGCAGCATCAGGATGAACAAGATAAATGTCTGATGCAAGTTGGATTCCCTGACAAGAAAACATATACCACCACGATTGGCTCTGAGTGTAATGAATTTGGAAACACACTTCATTTGAGTACAAGGTTTGTCGTTCCAATACAAAGACCCCATAAACTCAAATCATTAGGAAGTAATATGGTAGAGAATTTTGACTTATTTAGAAACTCTGCAGAAAAGAAACATAATAATGGATGTGCAAAACTATTCTTTCACACTGAATATGAAAAAAATCTTATAGTGAAACCGTGTGGCTATAAAGAGTGTGGGAAAGCCCTCAGGCCAAAGAAAGGTCTTAGTCTTCATCAGAGAATTAAAAACGGGGAGAAGCCCTTTGAATGTACTGCGTGTCAGAAAACCTTCAGCAAGAAGTCACACCTCACTGTACACTGGAGAACGCACACGGGAGAGAAACCCTTTAGTTGTACTGAATGTGGAAAAGCCTTCAGCCAAAAATCTCAGCTCATTATACACCTCAGAACTCATACAGGAGAGAGACCTTTTGAGTGTCCTGAGTGTGGGAAAGCCTTCAGAGAAAAGTCAACAGTCATCATACATTACAGGACTCATACGGGAGAGAAACCTTATGAATGTAATGAATGTGGAAAAGCCTTCACTCAGAAGTCAAACCTCATCGTCCATCAGAAAACCCACACAGGAGAGAAAACATATGAATGCACTAAATGTGGGGAATCTTTCATACAGAAGCTTGATCTAATTATCCACCACAGCACTCACACAGGAAAGAAACCCCATGAATGCAGTGAATGCAAGAAGACTTTCAGTGACAAGTCAACCCTCATTATACACCAGAGAACGCACACCGGAGAGAAGCCACATAAATGTACTGAATGTGGGAAGTCTTTCAATGAGAAGTCCACCCTCATTGTGCATCAGAGGACCCACACAGGAGAGAAACCCTATGAATGTGATGTGTGTGGAAAAACCTTCACCCAGAAGTCAAACCTGGGTGTACATCAGAGAACGCATTCAGGAGAGAAACCCTTTGAGTGTAATGAATGCGAGAAAGCCTTCTCTCAGAAGTCCTATCTCATGCTACATCAGAGAGGCCACACAGGGGAGAAGCCCTACGAGTGCAGTGAATGTGAAAAAGCATTTTCTCAGAAGTCATATCTCATTATACATCAAAGAACACATACAGAAGAAAAACCCTATAAATGTAACGAATGTGGCAAAGCCTTCCGAGAAAAGTCAAAGCTCATAATACATCAAAGAATTCACACAGGAGAGAAACCCTATGAATGTCTTGTGTGTTGGAAAGCTTTCAGCCAGAAGTCCCAGCTTATAATTCACCAGAGAACACACACAGGAGAGAAGCCCTACGCTTGCACAGAGTGTGGCAAAGCCTTCAGAGAAAAGTCAACATTCACTGTGCATCAAAGAACTCATACTGGAGAGAAACCCTATAAATGTACAGAATGTGGGAAAGCCTTTACCCAGAAGTCCAATCTTATTGTTCATCAGAGGACCCACACTGGAAAGAAGGCCCATGGGAGAGGCCACATCCGGAAGTCAAAGTTCACTGGGCATTAGAAAGTAAAGCAACAGCATCTGCTGTGTACCCTGAAGGAAATTTGTCAGTTTAAGGTTTTCAAAGTGTGTCCTAACTTCTGATTTAAACATGAGGAGTTAAATTAGCCTTTCTTCTTTTCATCTTGCCCTTCCCCAAAATCAGTAGGAGAAAAGGAAGAGATGGAATCTCTGTATCTAACAAAATTAGGAAGTTAGCTGCAACCCAAGGGCTGCCAGAAGCAGAGGCAGTGAAGTGCCCATGCAAGAGATTCCAGGTCCACAGATGGGTATGGGTAAGGACTCTTAACTGAGGGTTGAGCAAGATACGCTTCAAAGTGCTGGGCCCTGGGCAACTGGGAAACAGAGTGCATAGGCAGGTGAAGGGTACCCTTAAGCATTTGGGATCTGAGGAGAAATAAGGCTCTTAACAAGGAGTTATTCAGACAAACTATTTTCAGGAAGACATCTGTACTGATAGGAACAGTTGGGATGAGGGAAGAGTAAATAGCTGCCCCTCTTTACTGACTTGGGAGAAGTCAAGTCTGAAATAATTAACAAGTTTGTGTCAGGGGCCTCAGCAGTTAGAAAAACTGATCCACCTGGAATATGGTCCTAGTTTCTTCCCTGACACAATCCTCCAGCAATAGCAAGTCTAAGGAAAACTAATTCAAAGAGAATGACACCGATAATCAAAACCACAAATTATTTTTTAAGCCAGCAGTTCACTTATAATGTATATACTCAATGTACGAAATGAACACAGATTCACTGATGCACTGTTTGCAAAAACAAAAGATTGGAAGTTGTCCTAATGATATCACCAGAGTTCTGCTTCCTGGAATTGGGACATATTCACAGCAAAGTCTTAGGCTCACAAAAATAAATAAAGAGAACTTGCATTATTATTTGTGTAGCGATTGGGATAAGCCCTAAGTTATAAAGAAGGAAAAGCAAGGTGCAGCATAGAGTATAATATGCTACCATGTGTATAGAAACAGGAAAATGTTAGTATACAGTTATACGTATTTCTAAAACCCTGATTAGCTCAGGGAAGGGGCAGTGGGAGGGTGGAGGGATGGAACCGATTGGGAGACATCTATGAAGCATTTATAGCTTTTGAAAATTGTACCATGTGAATGTTCTTCCTTTCCAAAAAATAAATAAAACTTTAAAAAGCATATTGCATTCTATTACTACTATAATGAAGTCAGTCTACACATAGGATTTTATAACATTTAATGTGGAGAGTATAATTTTTTTGTGGTGCCTTGGATGGAACCCAGGTCCTGTGGTCTACCACTCAGTTACACTCTCCTCAGCCTTGGAGGGTTTTGTTTTTAATGAGTAAACTGAATAACCAGGAAGACAGAACAACAGCTACTCAGTACATTCCCAAGGCACACAGGCATTAGTTTCTTGAGGGTACCAAATAGTGATTCTAAGGTCAGCTGGGACCACATCACCTAACCCTAAAATGATTGAGACTGGAACACATTTTTTCTTTTGTATGCACAGTGATATCTATGAAGAGATCCTATATTAAAGCCCACCACTGTCTTTCCATATCTTAAAGTTATTTAAATGACTGTATATACATATACTTTTCATAAGAGGTATAAAGTAATCCAAAGAGGGGTTGACTTACTCCCCAGGGTTGCATTCCTGCTGGTGACATAGTTTCTAGGGTGAGAGACAGATTGAGACCCCATGATCTGAATGGCCACAGCTGAAAACCACGTACCAGGATGCTTGCTGCAGAACGAGCAGTCCTGCTTGTGAATGACTATTTGTGGCACTCGTGCTAATGTGGTTACTCACTGGGACCATGACTGGTAGAATTTGGCAGCCCAAGCTATATAAAACCTTTAATCCAAACCCACTTGAGACCCTGTCTGTGCCCTCCCAGGCCTTTTTATTCTCTGAATTAATCTGCAAGTAAATGAACCACTGGCTGACTTTTTAAAAATGTAGTTAGACAGGTCTCACAGAGCTCTTTTCCAGGAAGAGGACATGTAGGGCTGGCTGACTTCTTCCTGTACAGTCTGCTGGGACAAGGCCCAAAGGCATTGCATCTTTCTACTCTTAAAGAATCTTCCTAGGGCTTCAGGTTTATTAAAGGCCATCCTGCAGTAGGGGAGAGAGTCAAACATCACCATTTCCCATGGATTTGGACTCCAGCTTCCTGGGACACCAAGACAACTGGATGAGCTACGTGTTGGTAAATGGAGGTAAGGCACAGACCTAAAGGGGAAAACTGCAGGATGTGAATAAACGGGCTGCGGTTTAGGGGAAAGCGAGGAGGGTGATGATGGACTGAGTAGGCGTGAGTGGGGTGATGAGGGCAGAATGGGCCAGATCAAGCAAGAGGGGAATATCCAATGGAGTGTAAGTAAACGTGGGTAGTGGTGGGGCCGGTGGGAGTGAGGAGGCACAGTGTGGAAGATGGTGGTGGATGCGGTGGAGGGAAGAGCAGGCCAGGTGGGTGGAGATCCAGGGCAGGTCTTCAGGGACAAGCCATCCGGGCGGCGGACTTTACTCCACTGGGGATGGTGGGTGCTCTGTGGAGTGGCAAGGTTACAGGGCATCGGGGTCTATGATGCAGGAATTTTCAGTGCTGGTGTTGGGGACTCGGGGAGGAGAGCACCTGGGCTTCTGCACCAAGGACAGCTGCCCTGACGACCCCACTGTGACCATTGGTGTGTAGATGGGAACAGCCTGTGCTCTAGGTATGCTGCTCAGTGAACACCAGCTCTGTGTTCCATGTTCTTGTTGCTCTTTATATAAACGCTGAGATGTGCCTCTGAAGCTCCCCAATTCAGCTATCTTTTAGCCCTAGGCCAGCCTTGGTGTTATCTCCCACATTATTTAGGTCAGCTAAAAACTCCTAAAATAAAACTGATCCCTCTTCAATCTATTCCTTAAGGGCCTCAAAACTACTCAGTATCCCTGAGATCACACATCTGACCTCTGATTGGCCTATAGCTACCCAGATCAGTACTGGCCTCCAGTATTTTTACCAGTCATATTTTGTTGTCTTTAGATACAACTGGCTAAACTATGAATTATGATCCCTGCTCACTTCATCCTTTGGGGCCTGCTAATATGAGAAATTCCCTTCATAACAATGATAGTATCCAATATGCTACCAGATAAACTACTGTAGAAGTCTCATTTTAGAAAGGCTCACAGACCAAATTAAAATGCTCGAGTCACAAGGTTCATTAAATCAACTTAAAGTATTTTTAAGCAGCAAGGAAAAAGGGGTAAGTTAGCACACTTAGTACCGACTCCACCATTAGGTTGTAGACCCTGCCTCTGTCTCCATCTCTGCCTATCTCTGTTGCACCGGTCTTACTGGTTATGAGACTCAGAGTTAAGATTTGAACAAGGGCCCCAGTCAGACTGCAGAAGCTCAGAGCCCATGACATCCCTAATGCCCTCAGCCGCATCTCACTGTTAATGTCAACACTGTAGTTTGTTCTGTTTAGTGGAACAATGGAGAGTGTCACCCATTGGTGGCCAACTTAGGTACAATGTAGGTCAAGTGGTAGGATACTTTATGTATTGGTTTCCTGTTCCTTTGCCTGTAATATTCTTGTTGGTCCTATCATATATTTTCCTTATTCCACGTATCTTTAGCATACTTTGCAAGTCACTAACTTACTTGTTACTCTATTTAACACATTATACAATTCTGCCTGTGTCAAGAGCTACCTTATTACTTGGGATCTCTACTTTACACACTGAGTTTTGTTTACTTCTCCCAAGTGCCCAGCAGGCATAAGCACTGTCTATGTTTAGCACATCTTACAAGTTTCTTCCATTAGGCTTATTTTCATGAGGTTGAGAGGACAATCAATAGAGAAATATCAAAGCTAATTCTTTGAAAAGATTAGTAAAAACCAGAAATGCTAGACTGATCAGGAAAAGCAAATTTTCGAGTATCCTTGATACAGTGGACTTCAGTATAGAATAAACATTTACATGGTAGTTGATAGTAAAAGAATTATGAAAAAGATTTACGTCAACAAATTTGACAGCGTAGCCATTGTAATAAAGGAGAAAAATCATAATGATCTCTGATGCAGAAAAGGGATTTTTTTATTTGATGCATGTTCACAATATAAATTTTTAGAAAAGTAGTAATGAAGAAGACATCTTCAAAAAACATAATCCAACTTAACGGTGATGGGGAAAACATTCCACCTGAGATTGGGAATGAGACAAGGATGCCTGCCATGCCCAGGTCTGCACAGTATCAGGCTGAGAATGAGGTAGTGTTCATAAAGCAAGACACGGAAAGGGAAGAATGGCTGGCAATGAATAAATGAAACTTCGAATCTCTGCAGATAACAGAAAATCTACAAGATCTATAGACAGATTATTGAAAGTAAGTGTATTTAGCAAGACTGCTAAATATAAGATCAGACTACAGAAACTGTTTTTCCTTGTACCAGCAACAACCAGAACAAGACACCAACAATAGGGAGAATAGAAAGAAACAAATGATGATGCCATTTAATGGTGACCTTTGAAAGGAACTGAAATTCCAGTGGGGTGGAATGGGATTGAAAAATGCGCAGAGAAAATACCCTAAGGCTTTTCTCAATGATGAGAGAAGGACCTAGAAGAAATAAAAGCTATAATTGTGAAAAGGGGTGAATCAATAAATGTCTAAATTTGTAAGGATGGGAGTTTATAATGACTGGAGGGAGGCACAGAGGGAGAGAATGTCCTTGATAGCCTCATTGCAGTGAATGAGGCAGTGATCAGACCCTGAGGGAGGGAGGCAGGGCTTGTCCTTACCGGAGAATTGGGGGAATCTGTGTAGATGCCCCTTCACTGGAAGAGGTGGCATCCACGTGCTGTGACCATTCAGAGACCCATGTTCTTTAAGGAGGACATCATGGCAATGAGGTTGACCTTACATGCACTATCCCCAGTCTTTCCACTGTTCACTCACATGGGCAACCTGAGATTTTGCAAGAGGTTCTCATGTCCCTTTTCCTCAGCACCCAGCCTGACAACAGTGGCTGTCTCCATCACATGTTGGAGGGACCAGTGACACTGGAGAATGAGACTGAGGACTGGACCTGGGAGGAGTGGCAGGCAGCACCTGGACCCTGATGGACTGAGTGTGGAGATAAGCTATGGAGACTCATAGCCACCTGGTCTCAGGCTTTCTAATTACTGTCCCCAGGTTTGGAAAGCCACCTTCCTTCCTCGTCCTCCAATACCACTGATCCTGCAACACACAAGAGGGCTCCATCTGATGTGACAAGAAACACATCCTTTAATAAGAAAAGTCATGTGCTGAGGTTGCTGAGGTCAATAGAATGAATCTTCTCTCTGTGAAATTGTAAAGAAGGAAAACAACTATGCATTAGTTTTGCTATCGCACCTCAAACTTGGCAAAAGTTAATGGCCATGATCTGTTAAGATGAAAAAGGCATTAAACTGTAAGGTTCAGTACTTTCGGTGGTTTTGGGCATTCACTGGGGATCTTGTACTTGTCCACTGAATTGAAGGGCCCTTACCATATCACAGACCGGCACCTTAACCAGCAAACACCTATTGCTCCCAGTTCTGGAGACCGGAAAGTCTAAGATCAAAGCACTGGAGGATCTGATAGCTGGTGAGGGCTCTCTTCCTGGGTTGTAGATGACATTTTCCTGTTGTGTCTTCATATGGCTGAGAGAGCCAGCTCTAGTCTCCATCTTCTTATAATGAAGTAAGTACTATACCATCATGGGAGCTTCCTCATCATGACCCATTCCTGCTAACATCAACTGGGGGTTAAGATTTCCACATATGCTCAGACATAAAGAATGAGAAACTAGAGTCATTCATAGGAAAGTGGTTGTATATTGAGGCCATACTCTTAAGTGAAATAAATAGGACACGTGTAAATACTGAATAATTTCTATGGTGTGAAAAGCTAAAAGTGTAAATAAGATCCAAATTGTATAACTGACAATGTGGAATAGGAAGAAAAGGGCTGAAGGTGTAGGGGAAGTGGGAAGGGTAGGGGAAAGGAAATAAGGGAAAAGAAAAATATGAAAAAATGCAAACAAACTTTTTGTA